ACCCATGACATATCAGTGTTGACATGTTCTTCGTATATGTGCTTCAAATTAATTTCATCTTGTTTAAAAAGTATGATCAAATTGGCATTGTCTCTTATTAATTGTTTAGGAATTTTGCTATACGTTTGATTTAAATAAAAACAATCGATAAATTTATGTCTTCCCATTGCAAAGTAATCACGCATGTTGTTTTGATTTTCACAAGCAACATCATCAAATATAATCACAGAGTCAGGTTTTGCGTCCTGAACTCTTAGTATTTCTTCGTGTTCCTGATATTTTTGAAACGAAATACCTGGTACTTGTTGTAATACTTTTTCTAAAAATATGTACTTGGGTTGGTACAGGGTTTTTGAATAAATATAAACATTTCGAAATCTTAAACCATTTTCGTGTATAAGTAGACTAATGAGTAAATTTGTTTTTCCACAATTTGACGGTCCGCAAATTATACAGCGAACTGAATTAGGTAACAATTCACTGTGACGGAAATCAGTTTTACAAAATTCATCACATATTATGTTAATATTCAACGATTGTGGTTGTTTTACAAATTTCATGCTTACTGTGTGAAACAGTTCGAATAACAATGACAAATATTTTTTGTATGTTAATATTTATAAACCGTACCACTATGTATTTTGCGTTACTAGCATTAACCGAATCGACCGTTGACGATTGGGCATTCTGGACCACCGCGAGTGCGAACTTGTTTCGCCGAGCGAAAAGTGGTCCAGAATGCCCAATCATATACTACTCTCGTTCACCTCGTAGTAGGTAGTAACGTATGGTTAGAACCTTTGCTAATAATCTCAATATTTATGTTCAAACAAATACCTCATAAATATACATACGCAGGCGAATCGTGTGATGTCGGTATGTCAGTTGAAGAAAATGAAAATCTTAAACCAACTGCGATTTTTAACAGCAACATGTTCTTTATTCTGCATCAAATGAGTACGAAGACACTAGCAGATGAAGCTACTCCAATCGATCAGTTTTATGTAACAGATTTTTTACTTTATAATTTTGTAATAAAGTTCAAAATGCCTTGAAGAATTTTGATAGATTGGTGTAAATTGATGAGCTGTCTGTACGTTTGTAATTAGCACAGGGCTGAGATATTTCCTGACTGTTCGTGATTGTTCTGCTGATTACCTTGTGTTGTTTATGTATTAGCGAACCTCTATTATATCCGTTTTCTAAGGCTCCTCACAAAATCTCCGGCTTTCGTAATCCAACTTCATGAGATTCAAAAAGTTTCTTAGTAATGTAGGTAGATACCTTAGATACCTTTCTTTTTGTTTTTGTGAAGTTAGATCTTCTGATATACTCCCCACCTTATCAGATTTCAATCCTTACTTTCTTACTTTGTAGTTTTATTTTTATAAATACTAGAAATACTGACATTGGGTTCGCCTATTATGTTGTTACGTGGGATTAAAATAACTTTTACACTCATCAATTGACTTAAAATACTTTGGAAAAAACGGCAAACAACTACCAAGCTAATACTTACCGGTTTTGTATTACGACATTATCTCAAGCTCCCTCCATATCAGCTCGTCATTTTAAGTACCTACACATTATTTAATGCAAAGAATAATACAACGAGTCGTTAAACAGCTTTTATGCATGGAGCCATACAAATTAATTCAACGATCACAATCATGTTAATATGATAAAAATCACTTCATTCTCCACTTAATTGATTCCATTCTCCTCGGAATCTATTCACATATCTACACAATGCGTCACTACTCACTAGTCACTATTCCAAGTCCCGGCACACAGACCTATCTGTGACCGAACAAAGGAATGTCAAAACTATTCGTTCGACAATACAAATGTCAACGATTGTCAGGGGACAGACACACAAACGGCTGGTAATGTCAAAATATTTGACGCGTTTGCCCTTACCTGAGATAAAGCGATTTGAGATAAATGCTCAATGGATTTCGCTAAAATGTTTCGTATTTCATGAGTTTCGAGAATTGTGGGTGTATTGTGTGATTGTGTCCCAATTTAACAGCTTTGCAGTTTGATAAAATTAACTTGGAAACGTGTGGAATATATTAGGAGCTCGGTTTGTTGCCACAGTCCTGTCTAGCGTATTTTACTCGCTTTCTACTAGATCGGGTCCGATGATAACTATGTGGCTCTAGATCTGTGGGTTTCGGTACACGTTTGCATTTTGCCGATTCACTGAGCCGGGTAAAGTGTGGCAAGCATTTGTAGGACCCAAAACCTTATGTAAAGACCCAATGCCACACAATTGGTGAGCCGATAACACACAGGTACTTTGACATTGACAATAAGGAGTCGTTAAGACTATAATCCCTTCCAATTCGTCAAAAGGTTTTAGTCTTCACTACACTATTGCACGTTATACATATTTACATAAACTGTCAATATAATCCTCTCTGGAACAGATCTCGGAGCTCCTTATCGCCTGTCACAGCTTTTTATTGCATTTTTTGTGGCCAAACATTATCAACGAAGTATTTATATTTGACTTGTGACCAGAATGCTCTTTTGCCCTTCTCGTCACATCCGGATTATAGTTTTTGCGATAAAGTCGTGTCTGATAAGACATCCAGGGTATTTATTTGTTCATTTGAAAGGATGTTGCCACAAGAAAAGTGTGCACACTGCAATAAACTTAAATAAATACAATTTGTGCGTGCTAAAAGCTGCGTGCAAACAAACAGAATGGTGGCTGTCTGAGCATGCAATAGTTCCCATGTACCCAGCAAATGTAAAATGCAACGAGAATTTTAAATGTGTTTGAATATCATAAAAACATCGTCAGCAAGCACATTAATATTTCTATGTTTATTAAAATCTTACGGCTCAGTTTCGTGACAAATCTTAAGAAAATATTTCGTCCGATAACCTACTTCTTACTTTTTAATTAGCCTCATTTTTCCGATACTGAAATGAAAATCAAGTCTCTGAGAAGAACGTAGATGAGAATATCTCAGTGACGGGCAACGGCTTACTTTTCTTATCTCGCCTTCGAAGTAAATTAGTTGTATAGATATGTGTGTTATATTATAAAGTTTTACTTGGATTTTCGATAATGAACGCAACACTTATTCATACTTATGGCAACAACTAAGTTAAGTTAATTATTATGTTTTGTGGGTGACTCGCGTAATTATTTGACGAGGGACTCGACTAGCCAGTAGCAGCGCGACAGTCGCCGCGTTCGTAGCGAGTCTCGGAATGCTGTTCATGAATATGAGCCTCTAGCATAGCTTGAAACTAGTCGAGTTCCTCGTCAAATAATTACGTGAATAAGACGAAAAACATAACAATTAATTTAGTATGTCTCACAAAAGTTATAAATCTAAGTTAAGGACTAAGGATAATAGAAAAGAAAGGTCACGCCTCAACTACATCACTTATTAACTTCTTAAGATGGTCTTGTACTTATGTTTCAATCTTCATACTTACTAGATGATAAGAAGAAAGGTTCTCGTACGTTTCATTCTTAACTCTACTGATGATCAACATAAAGCCAGATACAATTAGATAAAGATTATTCTTACAGACGGTCTCGTTGGCCAAATGGTCGCAAGGTCTCGAGTTAGATTCCCGGGTCGGGCAAAGTATTATTAGCTTTTAAAAAAATCTCAGTAGTAGCACGGTGTATAGAATTGTCCGGTATATGGCAATAGGCTCACCCCCTATTACATGGGACTCATAATATAAATAGTGAAAAGTGGGTGTTACAACAGTGACATTAAGTGCTGTAAAGTGCACCTCTGCCTACTGTTCTACATAATAACGTAATGTTATGTTTTTATTCTTACACATAATTTTAAAGTAAACACCTACTTTCCTTCGCCTATCGTGTGCCTCGCCTCCGGCAGTGGGGATGGTTTCATTCAACCAAAAGACGTACGGTGCAATACATTGGCGTCTAGACGCTCAGCCGCGTCCTAATATACAAGGCAATAGATCACGGGACGCAGAGATAAGCTCCCTAGCTCCGTACTGAGCATGTCTCAGTGGAACTACTATATTTGGTTAAAGGTTTTATCAATGGTGATAAATCTAGATGTTTTAGCGAAGAAGCGAAGAAATTATATTAGAACATGAACTTTTGGCACATCATCTTCTGTGATCCACGAATTGTTTTTTTACATTACCTTTATGTATGAACATAGTTTGTTAATTATCTGACAGTACAAAAAACATGACAGTAATTATTTAATTGTGTCATGAAGAGATATTGAAGGTATCCTAAATCATCACTGGCCAGAAATTGATCGAATTATTTTAACAAACGTTTCAACTTGAACAAGTTACAAATAGTTTACGAGTAAATAATCAGAACGTTAACAACTTTATACCGAAAAACATTTCCTGGAAAAATCACCCGATAAATAAATACCTCTACAAGTTTCAAAAAATACAACTACGCAACATTTCTCATAAAACCCAAAGAACTTTAGCCCTGGCGAAATTTATAGAAGATTTAGATCATGACCGGTGCAAAAAGTCTGAATTGCTCGTATCACTAGAAATTGGACTTTATATAGGACATATAGAGCTGTGTATCTTATGGAGATATCACCAAATCTTCTCAGTAGTGCCTCGTAGACGAACTTCACAAGGTTGCTGACTGTCCTACACACGACCCTCCGACATTGGAGTATTAATCGACGCTACAGAGCGCCTTGAGACCGAATACATGAAATAAAATATTTTATTTAAATGACTGCACTGTTGGCGCGGTGGCTAGGCAACTGGCTGCCGCGCAACGTGTCGCGGGTTCGA